CACCAGCGCCGTAGTGTGCAATCTCACAATTCTCAAGGTCATTATGCACCTTAGATTCTTCAGCATTTTATTTGATATGATACTCTGAAAACGATAGTGAGCCCTGATGAGGATAAGCATGTAATGAGATCTGCTTTAGCTGTGACTGAATAATGTGAATTATTGACCAACCTAGTTCCCACTAGTCAGGTGCAAGAGAAGGATGAGAATGTTGATGATTGGGTTGAAGCTTAGCTGTACGTTGCGGGCACCAGTCATACGCACACATAATACTAAGGGTGAATAGGGACCCATGAATCGTGATCCATTGGTGGTGCTATGTACCATAAAGCTTGCTTCTTTGGTCTCATCTTGTCCAGTCTCGCCACCCATCTTTAAAAGTCTGAGGTACCTTAGAAGAACGCCTCTAAAAGTTACAGCTATCGCATTCACAAGACATATGCAGTGATTAGTAGATGTAAACCTTCCTTTATAAGCAGGCCTTCCAGCTTGCGTTTCTTGTTTGATAGTTCCAAGCCGCAATTCATCCATTGTCTGCACGGTCCGATTGCTGGCGCAAATGTTGCGGGCCAAACGTATTTTATGGATGCTACACGTCTGCAGGCATCAAGGCACCTGGTCTTCTTTAGCCCGCGGTGGGCTACACAGAACTTGAGCTCTCTGTCTCTCTCTGATGGTTTATTCGTGTTGATTTTGTAAGACTCACTACTTAGAGGTGGCGGACGAGGCTGTAAGTAGTATTACTCCGAAAATCTTTCCCTTCTATCCTCTTGACTTCCACTGGACTACAGTATGAAGCGTACAGGGTCAATCAGAGAAGACCGACACTCGATTCTCGTAAATCATCAAATTTCGTGTTCATGAGGTGTTAGAGAAACATCAGGGAAAATTAGGGGCTTTTTATACTGTAACCAGCCGCAGTCCTCATGTTCTGGGATCCCACAAGACTCGCAACACTGCCCATCACAAATCTGCATCTTCCTGATATTGAGGACACAATGCTTATGAGTTGAGAACTTGATATTCATACCATCCGCGAAGTTGATTCATCAATTGGATCACAATTATCTTAGGCACCTTGTCTGTCACTATAAAGCTGGCGAGTTTCAAACTGAAACTTTGGGACCACAGATTAGCCACTTCTAGCTCTTTGGTCACTACAAATCTTCATGATTAGGATGGAAAATTTTCCAGAGATTCCAACTCATTTCATGCGTCATATCTTAAAGACCCGACCTGCAAGGTGCCTGAAAATCGTGCTCCGTTCCTCATATTTGGAGTTTGCTGAGTATTCTCTCTCTACCTTACCTTATATCTCAGTATCCTGTACGTCACCCAACCCAGGGAAGAATGCCCTGATCTGGCATGCGGGTTTGACAGCCGAACATCTCACAAAGTTTTGAAAGAGAACTATTTGAGCTTGCGGTCTTTGGTTCAATGTTATTATACCATTTCCCGCAGCCGAATGTACTGAGCTGTTTTACATGCTCGATTCTGTAATTTCCATGAATAGACTCCAGCAGCATCTCCCCCAACTCCTGGACGTTGCTCCGTGTATCACCCGAGCATAATGTCTACGAATCCAGCGGCTTTCTTCCCACCAGGGTGTATCTGCGAGCCGTAGTCAGCCAGAAAGTAAAGTAAACGCACCAATGCCCCGAAAGCACAAAATACAACAACGAGAAAGCTACGGCATTCTTACATGGTCAGGTAGGAGTGGATCTTTGGGTCCCTCATATTCTTGCGCACGTCAATGAGGAATACGTCCACCTCCTCCTTCGTGTATCCATGAGCGCGCGTCAGCGGTCCCATAGCCAGAGCTTCTGCAGCGGCCACAAAGTTGTGGTAGTTCCACTCCCCAATCTTCTTGTAGTGAGGATCCTTGGGCCAGGGGTTCGATGGCCATTTGAAGCGCTGAAGCGCAACATCCTGAAAGCCGACCTCCTTCATCATGTCCTCCAGTAGAGGCACGTCAATGAATTGCCGACCAAACTTGACGCACGCTTCTCGGACAAGGGAGCTGAACTTGGCCAGGGGTTTCTCGGGGGATAGGGTACCATCGTCGGAGGCGAAGAGGAAGTCGTTCTCTTGAAGCTCGAAGTAGCCGTCTGGCTTGGTGAAGCTACGTGGAGTGGTTAGAGTATTTTGGACTGTCTCCAGTGTGCTGCGAAGCAGGAGAAATGTGACTGAAGCCCAGATGGACTTTCTGCCTGAGAGGATGTAGAACTCACTCGTAGGCCTTCTTGAATAGCTTCTTCCAGTCGGCGATGGACCCATTGAGAAAGCGGAGGTGGATGTAGTCGAACTTCTGTGAGTACAGCCAATCTTCCTCGACGTCGTCGACCTCAAACTTTAGATTGGGAGGAACACTTTCGATTGAAGTTAGTTTTCTCACCGCTTTAGAGGCGCATACAATACAAAAGACGGCGTAAGGCGGACATACTCTCGTGGCTGGATGGGAGAAAGGTCCACACCAAGCACCTGAAGGTTGCGACGGTTAGGCAAATTACTAGTGGAAATGTAGGTTTCCGACGTGACTCACCTCAGCGTCGGGATGCTCATCAGCGTATTCGATGGCCCACAAGCCAGTTCCGGTACCCAGATCAAGAACTCGGCCTACTTTGGCGTCTGGGTCGCATGGAGGTGCGAAACCCAACTTGTTGTGGAATGTGAGAAAGCAGATCTCGTTTTGCATGTCTGAAACTTGACTTAGCGAGGTGGTATTCGAGGTGCATCAGCTCACAGAGAACATACCAAGCCTCTCGTTCTCTTCAGCATCATTGGGCCAGGCATATTCTGGTTATCAAACATTGGTAAGAGATTTTCGAAGCCAGGACTCAGCCGTCTCGCATGGACCTACTGCCATCTTTGTATGTGTGATACGACCGACCATTCTCGATGCGTTTTTCTAAGATCGAGGTTCTCAAACTGGTGACCTCCGAATAGAAGGACTTTTCCGTCCCAGTCAGTTGGGCTAAGGGGATGAATACCCAGAGCTGAACTTACCTGAAGGTCCGCCTCGCTATCATCGTTTCTGATCTGCCGTATGGTTAGGTATGGGACGGGCTACTCAGGCGTTCTCACGCACCTGGTCGTCGGGGACAAGCTCAGCATCTTGATGTGGGTTCGCCATGGCTTACTGCTCTGTCTTGAGGCTCTTTCCAAAGTGGGTGAAAGATTGAAGATGTTTCTGCAGAACGTGTGACTGAAGAAACAACCAAGCTTTTTTGAGGGCGGCAGGGTCGGCAGACAATCGGCCGTTGCCCCTCATCTTGGCCTGCACGACCTGACGTGAAGAACCAACAAGCGAACATGCATCATGCATCGACGGCGAAGTTGCCTTATTGCGACCGAATGTGGGGCACAAGTGAGCTCAAGGGGAAGGAGAAGATGATCATTGTATGAATACAGATTATCCCTGGCGATTGGAGGCTCGCGTAGTCGGGATATGGGGTGCCGGTGAAGTGTGCCGAGTTCCAACACCCGCAGGAGATCCGCAGTCGAATTGAGTCCAATTCTGACGCGCACCGATGCCACCGAAAGTGAGGCATTCTTCGGATGCAACTTCAAGTGCGGCTCAGTCTTGAGATCCAAGGGTAGGTGCATGATTTCAGCGCTTGCAATTAGGAGTAGCCCCAGGGATCAGGACTAGAGAGTTGAATAATAGCTAAAAAGAAAAAAGAGGAAAAAACCATGGGCGGCCACCGGAGATATGTAGAGCCACCTAAGGTACTCGAACCATCGAGCTTTGCCGAAACCAGGCATACAATCCACCACTAGGCTATCTTGCGACGGTGGTCGCACCCATTGTTGCGAATTCTGGAAGGTGAGTTGGCTATGAGGGAAGGACCTATCCAGAGGCAACAAGTGCGGTGAACTCGGCTGCACCTTCCAGCTTAATAGTATTGGCATCATTCTTTGGCAATAAGGTAATCAATCCAACAAAGCTGGCCTCGATACTCAAATCGCTATCAAAGTAAATTCTCAACATTCAATACAAGAAAGGTGCAGGTGATACATCACGAGCATATTGGGGTGAACGGATCAGTACATGTTCTTGAAGACCATGCCCCTCGATGCCCGCGGTCCACTTTGCGTGATGACTGCAATAGGTGAACCGTGGTGCCCATATCAAGACGAGAACATAATGAGATTGACATTAATAGCGGCTTCCAGATGCAATATACACCGCGCGACAGTAGTACCCCTCAATGCACAGTCTCCAGTAACGTGAGTCTTGTCCGGAAACAATATCCCAACAGTTGCAATCAACCCAAATCGTGCTTTGCTATGAGCACCCATCAAATATAATATCAAAACGTGCAAGAGAAGCATCGACGATAACATACTGTACTGAGAGTTGCGTTTCAACAGGATTACGAACCAATTGTGAAAAGATGAAGTCTAAACATGACTGATCAGAGCGGAGCTTGAGTTGCCCGGGCACAGACCCGGCAAATCGGTGTCCGATGATCTCCGAGTTACACCATCACAATCGGGGGCCGGTTGCGAGCGGCTTACATATCAAGAGCCACGCCCTTTGTCCGAATCTCTGCGGCCGTCAAATTCATTACAACCAAGGAATCCAGCAGAAAAAGATTTATAATCTTCGTCCCCAGATAAACCGTACTCTCGGATAATAATAATAAAGAGACGGCGACCTCTCAACTACGAAAGCAACTTTTCCATCCCATCCATCAGTACGAATTGATCACATCAACCAAGCTTCCAGCCGTCTTTTAAGATCAACATCAGAACGCCCATGAACCATGGCGAAGAATTTGCACGACAACGTGTCTCGCGTCAAGATATTTAATGCCATTGGTACAACACTTTTTGTTGGCCTGCGCGCAGCAGACGTTTTGCTTCAGCATGCTCTTCTTCAGCGCGGCTGGGCGAAGAATTTGATTCAACTAATCGGCGAAACTTCGTTGAACTCAAGCATGGTCCTCAACCTAGCGACTTCGCACATACATCCTTAATACGGCATCGTCACGTTCATGGCTTTTGGTAGCAGCTTCAAGCAGATCTACACCGCTCTCACCATGTCGGAACAAGACATGCCACCATCATCGGCAGTAATCATCGCGCTTTTCAACACGATCTTCAACTCGCTCAACACCTGCCTGTCTGTCTGGACCGCGACATCTGCGCTGTCCAGCGCCACAACTCTATCGGAGGTACTGGGGTCTCCGGCAGTCGCGACCGGTCTCGCATTTTACCTGATTGGCATTCTGACAGAGGCGGCCTCGGAAACGCAACGCATGATTTTCAAGAAGAACCCCGCCAACAAAGGGAAGCCATACGCCGGTGGCTTGTTTTCTCTTGCAAGGCATATTAACTACGGTGGCTACACCATCTGGCGTACGGCCTATGCGCTCACCTGTGGTGGCTGGACCGTTGCCATTCCGGTGTTTACCTTCTTCTTCTACGATTTTGCCACTCGAGGTGTCCCAGTCCTCGATAAGTACCTTTCGGAGAGAGTAAGTCCCTACCTTAGTCTTCGTAAGACTTCAACACATTACTCACCTTATTTACTTAGTATGGTGATTCGTGGAAGACTATCAAAGCCAACGTCCCTTATCGTTTAATCCCCGGCGTTTATTAGGCCTTTGACACACTCAATATCAGGCGCGATGGAGATAGAAATGCGGCTATCGGGGTGACTTCATGCAGGAAAGATTAGGGGAGGGGGGGACGTCTTGACGAATTGAAGTACTCAACTCTTACTCAATGTGTGTTGCGCTTCAATTTTAACACTCATGGTGACTGAGACTCTTCACCCCAAAGCAACTAGCCCGGTCCGTTGACACAGGGGAATACCACCGATCTGACGCAAAGTTCAAATGGAACTCGCTGGCCAATCTTTTGTTTCCGTAAGAATCCAAATAAACTGGACGGGAAACCAAACGGAAAGGGTTGCAAGGAGCCCCAGGGTTGAATCATCGAAAGACTTGACAAGAGTAGGAGTTTCTACAGGCTCTTGCGTGGAGGGTACTTTCAACAACGCACCTGGTCCGTTTCGGTTGGATTAACACTGCAGCTAGTCCCATTCCTCACCAACGCTAACTGTCTCTGTGCTGATTGCAAGCTGCAACATGAGGGCACAGCAGGTTCTCCGGAAAGCAAAGAGAACTTCCGTTAATCAGCTAGCCAATTACGCGTCATTTCTGGCAAAACTTTGATTGAATTCTGGATGCAAGTGTTCCGACGGGACGCTCTTCCGGCGGCTGGCCTGCTTCAGGGCCGAATTCCGTTCTTTACGCCTCTGTGAAGCATTGAACTGTGGCCCTGAAATAAACGAGCACTCATAAAAGCCAAGCAAGAGACTGAAATGGAAAAAGTTGAACTTATCTCTCAATATCGAATCAGTACAACTTGACGAGATGTTGACATTTGGGTTGACTCTTACCTTGCTCTTTTGCACTAGCGTTGCTGGTCAGGTTGATCCATCACCGTCGATTGTCATCGATGCTGGTACGATCATCGGTACAACAACGTCATTGCCATCTACGACGGCTGTTGTGCATAAGTTTCTCGGTATACCTTTTGCGCAGGCGCCTGTCGAAGAGAATCGATTTCTCCCTCCAAAAGCCCTGCTGAAGCATGATGAAAACCCGCTGAATGCTATAGCATGGGGGAACAAGTGCATTGCTGTCACTGGAAGTTAGTGGCATAATTCAACTCGTGAATCGTGAGCTGACAAAAGCAGGTAGTGATGGGCCTCCTGAAAGCGAAGACTGTTTGTTCTTGAACGTGTACACACCAGCCGGAGCGGGATGTCAGAGCTCCGGTCGGCCGGTTCTTGTGTGGATCCATGGCGGATGGTTGCGGGAGGGCACAGCCAGCCAGCCCATGTTTGACGGATCCAGATTCGCCGCCGAGCAGGGCATAGTTGTTGTGACTTTCAACTATCGTCTCAATGGTGTGTTGGGTGATTCCGTTCTTGAGGTAGCTTGCTAAGCATGAGACACAGTATTTGGTTTCCCAAATTCTCCTCAACTACCCCTGGAAGAAGAAAACCTCGGCTTTTTGGATCAGCGAATGGCTCTCGAATGGGTCCAAGAGAACATAAATGCTTTCGGTGGAGATCCATCGAAAGTCACGATAGCCGGAGAGTCTTCAGGTGGATCTTCAGTTGACCGTCTCGTCGCCACCATTCATTCCAATCCTCCATTCCGCGCGGCGGCATGCTCGAGCGGCCAGGCTACAGTAAGCGCAATTGGTCGGGAGGCTGGTCCAATATCATGGGCTGCCCTTGTGTCTCTTCTCGGATGCACCGGCGAAGATCAGATCGGGTGCGTGCGTGCAGTCGACGGCAAGACCATCCGAGACTTGATCGTTGCGAACGGTCTGGACTTCAGCCCGGTGAACGACAATATCACGCAAAAGGAGCTCCCATACCTTCCGATTCGAGCCTCTGGAGGCGTTGCCCCGGTTCCGCTATTGATCGGCTCGACAGGTCAGGAGGGAACTTACTTAGCGCCTGCTTATGGCCTAAATCTTTCGACCGTCACTGATGCAATGCTTGCGCAAGTCATTGGCGTATTCACTGGCAACGACTCAGACCTCATATCCGCTATCATGCAGATTGTTGCAGTCAAGCAACAAATAACGGGTGTCTCGCTGTTTGATGCTGCTGCTCAAGTCTATACTGAGGTGGTCTATCAATGCGTGAGTCTTGGTCCCCTTGCTCAGAAATCCTATCCGTTACTAACCAAGACCCCTTCGAAGCCCGCCCTTCTTGTCTCTCGTGTTTCCTCTCAGAGTAATATCCCGACCTGGAGGTATTTTTACAATGCCTCGTTTCCGAATCTCGCTGCCGAGGGCTACACTTCTGATGAGCTGGGGGCATCCCATGGAACTGACACGGCCATGATCTGGGGCACTTACCCTCAAGAGCGTGCCACAGATTACCAAAGAGAACTCGGTCGATATTTGCAAAAGCTGTGGGCAGGATTCATCAAGGACCCTTCAGGTCAAGGCCCCGGCTGGGAAAGGGTGAACGCAAATGGTAACAACATTGCATGCATTGGGTGTACGGGAGAAGGTGGTGAGCTCAAAGTCATCGCATCTGCCACTGTCGATGGATGGTGTCCAACGTACGAGCCGTTCTTCGGTAGAGTCAAGACACCATTCGTCAAGGTTTAGGTGGCAGGGTTCATTTCGTTGATGGGTCCGGAACCACGATTCGTCGAACCATCGTCGCGCATGGCTCTGTTGGAACCGTGACCTGGAACCAACATAACCCCTGGTAGAGATACGCGGCAGGTAGCATCCGGCCACCAACACCAACACGCATGGTAATGGAGCATCGTAAGAGAAATTAATACCGATTCTATCACTCTGCATTCATACCCGCCGTGCTTCCTATTTTGGAAAATGCAGTATCCACGGTCAAAACTGCAAATGGCTTGTTCACCGCGAACGTGCATGACTCTCCCCAGCCAAGAAGAGGGGTAAAGAGATAAGTCCACCTTTCATGGAAAACAAAACAGTCGTCGTCTGCGGACCGACGCTTTGCTCTCTTTCCTCGTCATCTTCATCACAGTTATTGACGTCGCTTGACCATGTGCGGTGACAACAGCCCTTCGCCTGCGGCCGATGCTGCCTCGGCTCCTGTTCAAGCCAACAACCCTATCCAGATTGTCCCTGATGAGGTATTTCAGAAATCTCAATCTGATACCATATGTTGTACAGCTTGCTAATGAAAGTGTACCTTAGGCTATAACCGACGACGTGTCGGCGATTGGAGAGGTAGGCGACTCGTTTGGCTTTGAAGGATAGTATGCTCACAGTTGCCTACCTACCAGAGCATCGCATCTTCCAGCGCTAGCGTATCTAGCTCGGTCCTTGAGTACCGTTACGAGAACGGTCGGACTTACCACAAGTACAAGGATGGCAGTAAGTATGTCTGAAACCCCATCAGAGCTGTTGATTAATGGGATTAGAATACATGTTACCCAACGACGAACTTGAAAATGACCGACTTGGTAAGAATAGGCTCATGATGCGTATCATTTTTCGCAAGGAAATGTAATAGGCTGATTAATGAGCAGACTTGCAACACAACCTGTTCCTGTTGACTTTTGACAACGCGCTTGGGCTTGCTCCCCCTTGCCAAAAGGATTCCTCGGTGAAGCGCGTCCTCGACGTTGGTACAGGCACAGGAATTTGGGCTATTGATTTCGGGGAAGATCACCCGGATGCTGAGGTACTCACATGTTCGTTCTTCGTTCTAATTTTGGCAGAGACTCATGGGCATGCTAGGTCCTCGGCATGGATCTTTCACACTCGATGCCCGAATAGTGAGTCAATAGTCAGACCGCACATGCACTGAGTCGGTCACTGTGCTGGCCCACTGACTTCATCCAGCGTTCCTCCCAATGTCAAATTCGAGATTGACGATTTGGAAGAGGAGTGGGTTTATTCGCGACCGTTCGATTACATCCACAGTCGAATGATGAATTCCTCGATTAGCGATTGGAAGGTATATCTTCAGAAAGCATACAAGTAAGTTTCTCGAATAAGACGACCGCTAAAGAGCGTTAAATGAGAATTCAACTAAAATGCAACCTAGCCATCTCACCCCTGGTGGCTATTTCGAGCTACAAGAGGGTGATCTTATCCCGCATTCCGACGATGGCACTCTCAAGCCGCACCATGCACTGTCAAGATGTACTGACCTGATGATCGAGGCTGGCATCATTTTCGGACGCCCTTGGAAAGAGATTTCTGCGCTTACCAAAACCATGGAAGAGGTTGGGTTCGTTGACGTGGAGATGCATGTTTTCAAGTGGCCCTCAAATGGGTGGCCTAAGGATCCTAAGTACAAGGAGTTAGGACTCTGGAACAACGAGAACCTCTGTTCTGGCTTCGAAGCACTGTGTATGGCACCTTTTACTCGAGCCCACGGGTGGACGAGAGAGGAAGTCCTTGTGTTCATGGCAGAGGTGCGGAAGGACTTCAGAGACAGATCTATTCACGCCTACTGGCCTATGTAAGTGTCACGACACTATCCACGTTGGACTCGCTAACGGAGTCTTAGCTACTCTTTGTATGGAAGAAAGCCAACGGAGGAGAATACCGAGAAGTAGCCATAAGATCATTTGGTGTTACACGTGGAACTTCCCCGTTAAATAACGATGTTTGTCGGACGGTGTTTTGTAACAGATACACAATGGAGTTTAGCATAGCCTCATCTCTGAAGCTGAATGGAAAAATTTCTCATATGTCAGGGCTTAGGTGGCTCTACTTCAACATAGATTTGAAGCTGGTACTTATTTGGCCATCGGTCAGCCCCGTACTCGTTGGAACAGCTTTCTAAGGCTGACTTATGACCGGCTGATGTACCCGACCGAATTTTCACCAGCCTCCAACAGATATGGAATCCATGACTGGGTCGCATGTGGAATCATCTCCGTTCAATCAATGTAACATGGTACGCGCGTAGCTTCCTGTTCTGGAAAATGTAGTCTCCACTGACATCGCTTGAAATGGCTTGCTTGTCACCCACGTGCATAATTATCACCCGCATAACTATCACCCATGGCCAAGAAGAGGGGTAAGAAGTCTGATCACATTTCAAGAGACAACCAAACGTGGCTTCTTTCAATCCTCCTTGCTAAGCGAAATTTCGTTGTCTCCATTGCATTTGAGGTCGCTTTCTTGGAAAATGTGTGGTGATAACAACGAAGCAACTCCGGCTGCGCAGGCGCCTCCTGTTCCGGCCAACAACCCCATTGATCTCGTTCCCGATGAGGTGTGTTTCTGGAAGCCTCTCAAGTGTATCAGATGGTTCTGACGACAAACTTTAGGTACTCAATGACGGTGCCTCCGAGCACGCAGGAGTAGGCGTTTGCACTACCTGATTTCTAGCATTTGCTTGACGAGGGGTAGAGTATCGCATCTTTGAGCGCCAGTGTAGCCAGCTCGGTGTTCTAATTTCGAGTGGAGAATGGTCGACCTACCACAAGTACAAAGATGGAAGTAAGTTTCTTCCAGACCGTAGAGAAAGTCTGTCATTATCAGCCATATCTTACCGATGCAGAGTACAACATTCCCAACGATAAGTCAGAGCAAGACAGACTAGGTAAAACAACGAGAAACTATTCTTCTTGAAATAACATGCTCAAACTCAACTGGACAGACCTCCAACACAACCTATTTCTGTTGACGTTTGATAACAAACTTGGGCTCGCGCCCCCGAACGAGCCAGACTCAAGTGTCCAACATGTGCTCGATATTGGGACAGGTACGGGGATCTGGGCTGTAGAATTCGGAGAGGACCATACTGACGCCGAGGTACTAAGTTCCCGCACGCGTTTTCAAATCAAAAGCTGATGATAAGTTCAGGTACTTGGCATGGATCTTTCCCCATCGATGCCTGGATTGTATGTTGTGCAGAAGCCAACCGTGGGAATGTAAATTCTAATATTCTGCAGCGTCTCACCCAACGTCAAGTTCTAGATCGACGATTTGGACGAAGAATGGACCTATTCTCGTCCGTTCGACTATATCCACAGTCGAACGATGAACTCTTCTATCAACGACTGGCCACTATACCTCAAAAAAGTTTTCAAGTGGGTCTTGACTACCCTAAGTTTCTGATTATTGATGCTGTTATGAGTTATATCAACATACTGATTGCTTCAGTCACCTTACGCCAGGCGGATACTTCGAGCTTCAGGAGGCCGACCTCTTTCCCACGTCAGACGATGGGACCTTGAAGGATGACTCCCCTTTGATGAAGTGCACGGATCTGATGTACGAAGCTTCTGTGAAGTTTGGACGCCCATTTCAGCAGATCCCGCCTCTGGTTAGAATGATGGAAGATACTGGCTTTGTTGATGTGAAGTTGAATAGGTTCAAGTGGCCGACAAATTCCTGGCCTAAGGACCCTATATAAAGAGCTAGGGATATGGGCCAACGAAAATTTGACTAGTGGTCTCGAGGGGTTCTGTATGGCTCCTTTCACAAGAGCCCACGATTGGACGAGAGAAGAGGTCCTAGTATTCTTGGTCGACGTCCGTAAGAACATGAACGATAGGTCTATCCACGCATACTAGCCCCTGTAAGTTGATGCGTTTGTTTATTCTAAGTAGAAAATGCTAACCGCGTTCTAGCTGGTCGGTCTATGGCAGAAAGCCAACCGAAGAAGAGGCCGGGGCGACGGAGAGCTAGTGTGAGGTTCTGTGTCGTTCTTTTCCATCCGTAAATCTTAAGGCACCAAGGTCGCGTGATTTAGCAAATCGAAAATTTGATTCTAGCCCCCTGCTTTGGTGGAAAATTCTTGGCAACGAACTTCATCCTCACTGCCAGAGTTCAATATCAAACTTTTTTGATTATTCTACCTTTTAGAAAAAAAAGTCATCAAGCTTTTGTGGAGCTCTTCTTCGAGTCTGCCATTAGCATCACGGTAAGTGAGGCCAAATCTAGAACAGGGGTCCATCGCTGTGCCACAATCAGCAGATTAGTTCTTTTAAGAAGCAAAGATTTTTGTACTTGCCAGTAGCTATCTATGTCCTTTCCAAATAATCAACCTTCGGGAACAAACTATCACCTGTTTGTGGATGAAATATGATTTTATCGACCGACAAACTTGGAGAAACACACCTCAATAGCGCACACCGAGGGAAAATGACCATGTTCTACCCTTTTCCCATGCTTCCTCTTGAATTGCGCCAGCGGATATGGGAGCTTAGCATGGAGCCCAAAAATCTTCCTTACGGTCCCAAACCCTGGACCTATTTCGAAATTTCATGGCCAGCGCCGGCGCCGATACCGCCTGCCTTACAAGCTTGTAACGAATCCCGGACACATCTTCAACGCCACTATGCGAAGGTATTCCAAACGCAGAAAGATCCAAGCAGATATGATTGGGTCAATTTTGGGATCGACAGCATCTACGTAGATCAGTATCATCTCGAAAATCTTGCTGCAACAGAAGAGGGCTCTTCCATTCGTCAGCTCGTTATCTCCGGCCAGTGCGTAGAGCATTTCTGGTACAACCATGAGCGCTGGCTACGCGAGATGAATGGTTTACAGAATGTCACTATTCTTTACCATGAGACAGCGCCAGAAGAAAAGGAGGAGGACTGGTGCAGCGACTGGGATGAGCAGATGCGGTTTTGGTATTCCGGAGATTTCATGGAAGAAGTCGTTCAGTTCGACGCCAAGGTAGTGCATCCGGTGTGCCCGCCTTTCGAACTCAACCGGCACAACTACGAGGAGGCCAAAGAGATGGTTTTGCAAATACGGCGTGCTGAGTTAACTAGAATGGCAGAGTCAATTAGAAGCCATAAAGAGAATCACGGAAACTAGTTCTTATCCCAATCTCAACAGAGCTAATACTAGAACTTGAGCCCGAGATTAGGGAGGTACATTGAGGGAACCTCAAGTACACTGCAGGTATATACGGACTTAGGGCTGCTCTGCGTTCAATCGTTGGACAGGGTCGATGCACCTTGGTAAAGACTAGCACCAGATAGACAATTCTTGTCGAACACTAGATGTTGAGCGGAAAACTCGCATTGACACCAAGCCTCTCCGTCATTGTTCCTTCCACTAATTATTTTCATACTTCACTGATATTAAGAGAAACCCCGAAAGCTCCTGACAGGCGAGAACAACTCAAGGGGAAATGACGATAGTGCATGTCTTGCTCGATTTAGAATGACCATCGTTTCGGACGTCTTCGCCATTGGCGACGACGAGACCAGCCGGTGTGTTCTAAGTATTACAGGCCATGATACCAATAGAGGTGACCAAGTCTGACACAGAAGTGTTTGAGCCGAATGCTGCTGAAGATTATTACGAGAGTTACCAGGGTGGCAGCAAGCTTCAATGTTTGAAAAGCTCGAATTCGAGGGGCTCCAATATTTCGCTGCCTGTTCCCGCGCAATATTCTCGCATTTAAAGGGCACATTCACGTTGACCTCGCAAAATCTGCTCGGTCTTCGCTGTTTCCACCTTATCTGTGCGTTTCCGGTCGAGGCAAGGCGATATCTCACTCGCAGTGGGTTGTCTCGCCTGTCATACGACAACTTCAACCCAAGCTTACCATACGAAACCGATGACCTCGGAACCTCGCATCCATTCGCTTTCAGCCCTACAACCAACCAGATCGGTGTACACGGGCAGAAGTTCTATGCAAGCTTTGACAAGCTGCAACCGCATTCGGTGCCACCATCCGACGTTAACGGATCTTGACCTAGGCTCGGCCTTGGTAGACGCGCTTGTTCCAGGTCTGTGTTTCGCACTGACTCAACTCGTCCCATCTAAGGTCTGCAAAAGCTCAACTATCGTATCTGTTAATCACGAGCTACAGAAGTACCCGATGAACCTTGTTTGTGTACGGAAAAGCTTTTTGGAGTCGCGGAGGCGACCGCTGCAGCGATGGCGTCTCGAGACAGGCTCCAGGCATCGGGGACGCAGCCGGGCTGACGACTCGCCTCAAACCAGCCGACTGACAACTTCTTGACATCTGTAACGTCTACTAGTGGTCCCAATTCCATCTCTTGTCGGCAAAGTAAGATTTTGATTGGCAGACGAACGTAGTTGAATCGATGTATCACCGGTGCCGTTAGCCGCCCGAACTACGTCTCAGTAGCTCCCCGATCGTACAAGGTCCCCGACGAAGTGACTCAAGTAACGATGCTGTTGAGATATATTTACTGAATAACCAAGATGATATCCATTCAATCCATACACATTGTGACTTCTAAAACCGACCTTTGATCCAGCCACTTTCTTTCTTTGCGATTGTAGCCATGGCTCTGAAGGACACATCCGCAGGAGCGGCAATCTACGTCCCCGTTATTCTGCGTTACGTCTATGATCCTCTTGTACTAGGCTTCTATTGCCCATGTGCATGGCAAATATCATCGAAAAGACTACGGGGCTTTTTCAACGGCCACATCACCAGCGCCGGTGCTCGCTCAAGATCTCGATTTCTCCAGCAACAAAGCAATCTCTCAAAGTCGGGCTCCTCACCATGCCGAATACTCGACATTGGAGTGGGAACCGGATACTTTATCAAACACGCGCCAATTCCAGAGGGCACTCAAGTAACCCTGGTGGACCTGAACCCCTCGGCTCTGCACGCCGCCTCATTACGCACGCTCGAGATGCACCCACATGTCACCTGCAAAACCTCGATAGGGGACTTCTTGGATCCTTTAGCCCGGGGACTCTCGTGTGAAGACTTCAATGGTGCCAAGTTCGACGCGATCTCAGTCATGATGCTGATTCACTGCGTGCCGGGTCCCCCGGTCAGGAAGGCGGAGGCATTGATTCGATTGAAGAGTCTTTTGACTCCCGACGGCAAGCTCTTCGGCGTCACAATTCTGGGGAAGGGTGTCAAGCACAACTCGATGGGGAAGGCTCTTATGTTCTGGCACAATTTATTTGGGGTTTTTGGGAACACAGAGGATGACATGGAGAGCTTTGTCGGGCCGCTCAGAGATGCTTTCGAAGACGTCAGGTGGGAGGTACACGGAACTATGTTACTGTTTGAAGCGAGTAGACCGAGATGTTGATAAGGTAATACACGTGGTTGTCAGTTGAAGATAAAGAGCGAGACGTGTGCAGCCCTCTCCGGCATCGAAGCACCTAAGCCGACTAGTACAACTCATTTTACTTTGGCACTTCGCATTCGGTTCGCAAATCTAGATTCTTCTAGTGACGTAACGTGGATTAAAGTTGCGATGTGCCTAACACCGCTAGAATTTCGCGGAGATTGCTAAGTTGCCTCGTGGCGCGGAAGTTTAATGTTGGCTTTGATCAGACGAACTGTACTGTGGCGAACCTAGCTCAAGAATAGACGCGATTGGTTGTCAGTAAAAATAAGAAGCAACTTTCCTCGGGTTCAAGCAATCATCCGAGCTTTACGATCCTGTCATTTCCTGTAGAAAGCACATCTGCACGACGTTTGAGAATGATCGCGTCCACAAAGATCAACTGTGATCAATGACAAACCTTTTCAGACTTTCACTTGTACCTCAGATACAAAGCGCTCAAGCTCGAAAGCCAGCTGAAGGTCAAGAACGTATTTTTGATCCACGAGTTGAACAGAATAGCAAGGCAAGCATAGCATTCACGTGTGCGATCATTGTAGTAAAGAGCCAAGTTCTCAGCAGATTGAATGAAACGTTTTCTGATTTATATGTACTCGGTAACTCGAAAGATATTGCGTAAGCTTTTCCTACTCTGCACCTTTTTTTTTTTTTTTAGGTGCTAGGACTATGAGACTTCCTCAAAATATGTACCCGATAGAATGAAAGCCAACGTCGGCAGAAAGTCAAGTCCGGCGCTCACTCCCATATGCAACTTCTTGTTTTACAAGTCAAAGTTCCAGCCACCAGTGTAGTTAGAAAAAAACCCTTCTGGATCGTACTTGGCTTTGATCTCCTGTAGCTTGCTATAGGTGGTGAAGGTCTTCAGGGGATCTTGGTCGTAATGCGCATCATTGATGAATAGCGGCAGGTCGTCGGCAAAGGGCACACTCTCAACCATCTTCTTGAAGCTAGCCTCGAGCTCGGCGGTCTGGCCACTAGTGAGGAACGGGCTGGACTGCAGGAGGAAACAGAGCCATAGCCAAGGTCCATCGGGCATCTGCATCGCATTGCCGCCGTTCTGGCTCTTCGACGCGTCGGTAAGACTCTTAGGGATGGGTTGGTAGTCAATCGACAAGAGCGTGTACTTGCCCTTGTTGTCAGCGCCCCATTTTGTCCAGGCCTCGTGGGCGGAGCGATAGGCGTTGTCGACCACGGCGTTTCCGGTCTCGCTTCCAGGGAATGGGATGCGGTACACGCCGTTGCGGAACTGGTTCTTGCCCTTGGACAGCTCGGCGCCGTTGGGCAGGGGCATGTTGATCACCTCCTTGTACGTCTTGGTGCCCAGGGTGTTGAGCAGGTGGGGGATCGAGGTGAAATTGGCAAATGCTTTCTCTGCGCCGGCCTGGTCACCGTCGTAGACCATGAACAAAATGGCAAAGTCGTCGAGGTTCAAGTCTCCGAGAGCGGGAGTGCCCAACTTCTCGTACGTCCCGATAATCGCGGCCTTGGGATCCTCGTTGTACAAGGTGAAGTTGGCGATGGCGTTCATGACGTTCTGAGTCTGGTTAAACAGATAAATGACATTGCCGGCGTACAGATTTCCGATTGGGCGTGTCTGGACCTTGTACTTGGTCACGACGCCATAGGCATTGCCGCCTCCTCCGCGCATGGCAAAGAAGAGGTCTTCGTTTTCGCTGGGCGAGGCGGTCACGATATCGCCGCTCGGCAGCACAACCTCCAGTTCACGGAAAGAATCAACGGCCAGACCGTACTGGCTCGAGAGATAGCTCAAGCCACCTCCGAGAGCCAGTCCTGAGCCAACACCGCTCAGACGGGCCCCAACAACCGTCCTGTTGTATTTGGCGAAGTAGTCGTAGATGTCGCCAGATTTGCCACCGGGCTGGTATGTTCCGAGCGTCGTCGTTTCGTCGTGAGTTCGTTCATTCATCTCAGTGAGGTCGATCAAGACGCCTTTGTCCACGCTGGAGAAGAAGGTGTTGGGGTTGTGACCCTCCGTCTTGATGGCGAAGCGCGACCCAGCTGCGCGAACCGACTTGAGGATGGCTGCCACATCCTGGGTGGTGGTTGGAAACACCACGCAAGAAGGGTTGTAGCCGCTCTGAGCCGTGTTGAAGTACTCATTCTTGCTCTGGATGTAGTCGATCTTGATGCTCGTGGCAACCTTGGTAGAGCCCAGCTGAGCCGTCAGATCGGTGCAGGCCGTGGAGCCAGCATCTCGCGCAGTCAGCAACGCGCTGGCTGTGTTAGCGAGACCAAGGGTAACGGCGGTTATGACTGCGTGCATCTTTGCTGCAAGAACTAAACGAAGGGGAGCGAGAATGCGACTGTTCCTGACACCGCGAAAAAGAGTGACTGCAAATTGACGCTCAAGAACGAAAAGGGTCAAGAACCTCTCAAGAGGATTCATAAGGCTGGCTGTTTCTAAGCGTTCCACTGCGGCCGGCGCCCTCCTTAACCGGTTTTGTACTCCGAGCCACCACCGGCGGCCCATCTTCGTCGGCGACCCCCACAATCACGGGCGTCGCTCGGCCAGTTCATCATTTCCCGCGATATGAGGATCGTCGCAAGGATGGTGACCCCGTTTTCGCATCCTCAAATACGAAAACGAGCAGAAAGAAACGAAGATGCAGCCTCGGGACGAATAAAGAATTATAATCACTGCTATTCCACCAAGCCACATATTCACCACCTTACTCGGATTCGTTACTCAAGCGGCAATGGCCAATCGCATCACTGGAATCGCGCAGAGGAGTGTCACCGACATGAAAATTACCCCGCAAGATGTCTTTCAATGCCCAGAACATGAAGAGACATACCGGTTAGTTGCCGGCTGATGTTGCATTCCTCGGTTGTCGAACCACTTGCGTGAATTGAACTGAGGAACAGTCTCATGATATCAGAAGAGCGTCTTACAGACACCCTCTAGATGGCACATGCACTTTTGCCTCGGTCAGTCATCATGATGTTCCTGCTGCCCCTTGTGATATTCGTTGTTTATTCGTGATAGCTTCCTTTGCACCGAGTTGCAAATTCCCAAAAAGTATCCGTCTATCCGTTGATTGCTCCTCCTCTATCAGTTTTCAATCTGAGCCCAAAAGCAATATCCAACAAAACCTTTATCCAATCCTGACCTCTATAGTGCCCTTTCTTGAGTGTTTCCAATTTTCCAGCCGCAATTGTGTCAACGGCGCGACCGCTTCGTGTAACTGTTTTGCCATGTCCTTGTGTTCATGTCGTCATTTCGTCCACTGTTCGTTGCGAGTCTTTAGATCAAGTGCCCCATTGCGTGCCTAATCCGATCAGACCACGCTTGTTTCCGTAATCGTGACCACTGTCTCCCCTTTCTTGGCGGCGATTGTGACTTTTTTCTCCGTGTATCTCTTCTCGATTGCCTCTAGACTGTGGCCCCGTGTTTCCACCATGTATAACGCTACAACGACTGTGCAGAACAACGAACAGCCCGCGAAGAGGAAGTATGCGCCGAAAGAGGAAACGGAGAGCAGTACCGGAGTGATCAGCGCTACAACATAATTGGCGAACTGTTGGCCTGTCAGCAGCTTTTCACATGAAATAGCTCATGGCAGTCTGCCAGAGAGATCGGCCGAGACTCACCCAGTTGGCGCTCTGAGCTAAGCTCGATGCGCTGCTTCTGGTCTTCCTAGGCAGGCTCTCGACCAAGAACGTGCGGAAGGAGAGCGCCCAGGTAAAGCTGTAGACAATGGCGAATAGGTAGATGGACACAATGACAACCCACTTGCCAGCTCCTCGGTCTGCATGAACTTCGTCGGCGGCGTACAGCGAGCCCATGAGGACCATCAGAGCAGTGATTAGCACACCGCCTAGGAGACTGGAGGTCTTGCGTCCCCAGCTGTCAGCGAAGAACGTAGCGGGCACAGTCGTGGCCAAGATGACCAGCGCAGACACGCCAGAGGCCAGAAACGTCGCCTTCTCGCCGTCCAACCCTGCCTGCGTGAACATGATTGGCGCGTAGTACAGTATTCCGTCAATTCCGCTCCATTGTTGGAATCCCATGAGGAACAAACCGAACAACGTCCTGCCCCTATACGGGGCGGAGAAGGCTTCGCGGAAGCCGGCGAATGCTTGCTTCAAGACTTCAGAGACCGGGGCGTTGGGATCATGTTCTTGGTCGTCAGATGAAAGCTCCAGTATCTCTTCGCCTTCTTTTTCATTCAGTCCGAGCTTCTCGACGACGCGACGGGCCTCTTCTTGCCTGCCCTTAGCCATCAACCACCTTGGAGAAGGAGGAACGATGAAGTAACTTCCGGAAAACAGGAAGCCCAAGAACGAGGCAACAGCCAGCGGGAGACGCCACGCCGCAGACGACATTCCTAGCGTCGCCGTGCCATAACACCTGGCAATGACATGTCAGTATCTCCAACATGAGGACATGCTGGGGCAGCATACATGAAGTATCCAGTCACGATTCCCGTGACGATGGCAAATTGCGGCAAAGCGGTCATGATGCCGCGGATGCGAGCAGGCGAGATCTCGGAAACTTGAACGTAGACATTGCTCAAGAACATGCCCTCCCCAATGCCCTTGATGAGCCTTCCAAGAATGAAGACACCCAGGATAGGAGACGCGCACTCGATGCCGGTGCCGCATCCGTAGATAAAAGCCCCGAGAGCGAACAGGCGGACGTGGCCGAACCGGTCGGCCATGACGCCGGAGACTAGCGCCGACAGGGCGCCGGGGATGAGGACGGATGAGACGATGACTCCGTGCATGGTGGGGGAGAAGTCTCCGAAAGTTTCACGGAAGGACGGCATCGTCGTTACGGGGCCTATGCTGCCCGTGTCGAGGCTAACTCATGGAAAGTTTTCATCAGCAAGGCCGGTGTAGTTGTTGACGGTGAGAAGGGCAAGTACACACCCGAACAGCATGGCGACACATGATGAAATGATGCTGGCTCTCACGTAGAGAGGAGCCGATAAGAATTTCATGTCAAAAACGGTACTCGAGATCTGTTGTATGTGATTCTTAACGGGCACGAAGCATCAATGTTTCCTCTTTGCAAGATGATTTTTTTCCTTTGCAGTTGGCATTTGCAAAGTCAATACCAAAAGCCGGTGTGTGAAAATTGGGTTTGAGCCCAACGCCGCCCGCCACAGCGCTTCGCAATGCCCGATTCATCGAAACCCACTTGTAGAGTTTTGCCTTATCGTGAATTTCGGGCCCGTGGAGGTCCACATCTCATGCCGATAGGGTCCATTGGCGTTGTAAAAGTTGCCTCTTTCGGAAACTTTGGCGGAACGGCGCATGTGAGTAGTGATTTGTCTCAAAGATAAGCTGCATTATAATGGGCCTAGAACGCCGTGATCGTCGAGTCAATTGGCGTATGAGAAAGGTGTGGTTGGTTCTGTGCTTGTTAGTAGCGGGCTGACGCTGCCAAGATCTCAGCTTCTCCCAACCATTTACGCAGGCTGGTCTGACGAGGCACGAGGTAACACCAAATCAAAGGTTTTTGAGATGAGACCCTCCCAGGAAAAATTGACGGAAAGCAACACCAAGTCTCTATTAATATCTACAGGCCACCATACCGCGCTTCAGTTCCAATGAGACCCCGCTCATTTCCGTCGTGCCTTGAACGTTTTCAAGGGGTTTACTTTCCTGGTTCCGACCTTCTTGCCACGTCCAAACTTGCCCTTCTTATTCCTCAACTTGCCGCCGACCTTTCTAAATGGCACCATGCCGACCTCGTTCGAAGTGAGCGAGTCTTTGCCCTCCTTGGGAAGCAAGTATTCGGGTATATGCTTGAGATGGGGCTGCTGTCTTGCCGTCCTCAGCTCTCCGTCGTGACGTAGGTGCTGCAGTTCTGTAGGGTTCTCCTCGAAATATCTATAGAACTCAGTCAGTCGTGCCTCACAGAAACAAAGGCTGCACCGATAATGTGTGCTCAGAATGCCTTACCTCTTCAGCTTCTCACTCTTCAAGAGCTCCTGCTTCAACTCCCTCATACGCGCCTCTCTCACAGCCACCTTCGTGACTGCTCTCAACGCATCGTCCAGACGGTATCGGAACGCGTCCAGATGCTCCTTCTTGAAGTTGTATGGCTTCACCTCCTTGCCCTGCTTCGCCTGCTGCCTCTTGATCTTGGCTAGCACCTTCTCGTCGTTCTCCGCAGTCTCGATGCTGGTAGGCATGTGCTTGCGGTACAGCTCCTTGGGTACGTAAAACGAAAGGGCCATGCCTGTCCTTCCCGCACGTGCTGTCCGACCAATTCGGTGTGTGTATGATGATGCAGACGTCGGCAAGTCAAAGTTGACAACGGCTGCCACATTCTTGAAGTCGATGCCTCGTGATACGCCAAACTCAACATCCCGCTTTGACGACTTCTTCTTGTTCTTCTTCTTAGACTCCTTCTCCTTCTCCTTCTCGCCTCCGCCGTCTTCCTCCTCGCCATCCTTCTCTTCGACGCCCATAGCGCTCTTCTCGTCGGACGCGATGATGATATCGTAGACACCGCGGTTGAACTCCTCCAGCACGTGTGCTCTTGATGTAATGGGAAGCTCGGAGTTAAGAATACAGCTTCGGACCTGGAATTGCTCGAGGAAGAGCTTCAGGCGGTATGATCTGTCGACGTCGTTGACGAAAATGAGACACTTCCCCTTGACCAGCTTCAGCTTAAAGATGATGAACACCAACAGGAACTTCTCGTCCTCAGCGCAGCTCACAACGAACTGTGACAGGTTATCACCCTCCGTTTCCTCATCGTCCAAGTCGAGGACGGTCGGTTTCCGGGCGAAGATTCCTTGCAGAGAGGTGACGTCGGTTGACAACGTAGCGCTCATCATCAGAAGCTGAACACCCTTGGGGAGTTTCCTTGCGATGTTCTCCAGATCCTCACTGTAGCCGTATGAGAGGATAAGGTCCGCCTCGTCGAGAACGAGATGGGAGAGTTTTTCGAGGGACAAAGCATCGTTGAGAACATTCCTCCATGCGGTGGCAGGTGTTGAGATGACAATATCGGGGAAGTTAGACAAGAGGGAGCGTTGAACAGCATCGGAGATCTTGTCGACAAGCTTGACGGCGTGGATGTCCTTCGCGCAGTAGGCCGAGAATTGCTCAATCGCTTTGAGAACTTGGTCGGCGAGTTCGCGTGTCGGAACGAGAATAACGGCAGTCGTGGCAGGAGAGGAGTCGGTCTGGAGGGGGGCTGGTTAGCAGCGGTCGCGAGGGCATTGGTCTGCAGTCTCTTACCGTCTTGCGCTTCAGGATGCTAGACAGTACGGGCAAAACGTAAGCGGCGGTCTTTCCAGAGCCACAGGGAGCCTTCGCGACGACATCCTTGCCGTCAAGAGCGAGCGGGATTGCCTTCTGTTGGACTGGCGTCGGGTCCTTGAAGCTCTCCGCGGCGACGCCCTGCACCAGTCGCGTGTCGAGGCCAAGATCGCTGAAAGTGAGTTCCTTCGCGGCAGGCTGTGGCTCCTGAGTCTTGGCGCGCTTCTCCTCCTTCGGCGCGGAGTCGTCGGTCTCGGTATGCTTTCTCTTCATTGTGGGAGTGGCAGTGGTGACGGCGGTGGTAGCAGCGTTGTCGATGCGACGATGTAGGCGGCGATTGAGTTGAGGCGGCTGCACCTCAGCCAGAAAAAAAATCTGGAGGGGCGGGTCGAGACTTTTCTTATCTTATCGGCAAGCACAGACACCGGACGCACGGTTATGTCAGCCAGTACCCACTATCTCCGCCCCGGGGCCGGAGCCGGGGCCGGGGTCGGAGCTGGGACACGGACGACGATGGCGGACAAGGGCAAGGACGATGACAGGGGCAACGGTAAGAGAGACGAAAATAGTTGCGATGATAGAGACGACAAGGTCATGATTTTGCATTCAAGACATTCCCCTAACTCGCCAACAAACATGCTGGTAATGAGCTCATCTCTTCCACAGGCAGCAAGTACGTATGACCACAGGTAGAGGAAGCGTTATCCAAGTGAGCTTAATTCAGACGAATGATAAAATAAATTATTGTAAGTTTACCGCAAAATATTTGGTTGCAAGTTGCGCTAATTCTAATCGATTCTACTTATTGCAAGCAACACGCTCTCTAATACGCATCATTCACAATATCGCTCTCGTTTTCATGACCCCGTGGTCATGTGATACTGGTCAACAGGCCTAGATAAGAAGCTCTACAGCCACCTTCATCGACTATTTCATCCGTGCCCAGGAGTAAACAATGCCGCTAACGAAACCAATCGCTATCGCAGAAACGCTACCCACCGTTACAGGGGCTGAAAAGAAGATCAAGCCACTCAACGCAACTGGTAGCTTATTAAGGGCGCCTACCATCGAATATGTTGTCGAAGAGGTGACTCTGATGCACCATTCCAAGCTATACGAGATGGTGATAGCACCAAGGCCTGAGTAAATCATGCCGGCTATGATACTGTGTCGCGTCGACTCGGGAAAGTTCTTTCCCAAGTTGGCAGCAGACCAGTCTTCCACCATAAGGGAGCAGGAAAGCAGGATGGGAATTGTCAATAAGTTGTTGTAAAACATGGCTGATAGATGGAGTCAGTAAGAAAGATCCATGAATTAAATTAGATGAACGTACTGTCCCAATCGCTAAAGTTCATCTTCTTGATGATCTTACGCATTGACAGGAGATATGCGACGCTGCACACAATATTGATGCCCATCCAGGTATATCCGACATCAAGATTTTATGACAGGCTTGAGACGCCTTTACTCAAAGACGCGTTGGCGGCGCTCTGTATGTCGGCCCATGCTGCAACGATCGAGCTCAGGACCATTAGGCAAAATGACAGGAAGGCCAGTGGGGTGACCTTGCCTCCAAACAACAGCACTTCGCCACACGCGATGACAATAGTGGTGAGATTTTTGAAAATGGTGTAAACCGGGACGGACAGAAATTGGAGCGCTTTGTTGCCGGTGTAAATCATGCTCACGAGAAGCAGAGAAATTGGAAACCCTGCATGAGACACAGGAGTCAGCATGTGGAGAAGCAATGAACAAAGAATGACGACGTACACTGTTTGGCTTTTGTGTAATTAATGGGAGCTAGATTCCGAATCATTCGCAGTCTTTTGGCGAAAATAATCGCAGTAGTCGAGACGATAGCTTGGACGGCAACGTAGAAGAATGTCAGGTTCCACGAGCTCCCTGACACAACATATTTGTTGACGACTGTCATGCTGATAGAGGACAAACAGTACGCAACAATGGATAAGGCAGTGCTGTTTTCGATTTGCCTGGTCGTGGTTGAAGCGCCATTGTAGTCGCTCGCAAGCAGACCAGAAGCGGCCTTATCGGATGGTTTCGCGTCGCGGCCATCGTAAGCGTCATCCGGGATGTTGATGACATGGTCCCCCTTTTCGGGATTAGACATCGCGAAGAGTAGACGAAGGCTCTCGATTAGATGGAAAAAACGAAGAGCACGGGAATTCTGTGAATAAATTGTGTATGAATTTTCCGTTTATATGTACAGCTGAGAAGGTTATTTGGAGAAGAGCGATAGCGAGAAGAGGGGTTTTCGACGTGTGCTTGATTGTGGCTGTGTTCAGTCTGCAGTCAGCCATCTAATTCCCCCAATACGAATTTCTGACCACACTTGGGGAGGCTGTGTAGCCTGTGCCGCAATGTCACTAGTGTCTCACTTTTATCAATACATGTCTTCGGTTGATCTCAAAAAATCCTTCTTTTCAGATAAGTCAGAGAGAAAAGTACAGCAGTTCCTAGGTTTGAAGCCTTGCTGATTGTTCTTGTCAAGTCTCTCTGTGAACTTGAGCGCGTGAGGTTGATGCAGCTGCTGATATCTCGGATCATTTAAGCTTCAGAGCACTTGATAATAAGTCCGGCCACATATGAAAAGAAAACATATTGATTCATAGAATTTTAAAATGAAACAAAAGTAATTGTCACAGCGGTGCACATATCGAAGGAAGAACTCTTCTGCGCACTACGAACTTCATTTTCATTGGTATTAAGGATATTTCAAGTCTACATTCTAAACTGCAAAACCCATTGTCAGATGATCAGTGACAGAACAGTGTTGTGCAAGAGCTATAAGTTTGCGTTTGACAACCTGTGATCTGAATCTTTGCTTGAAATCTCTTACTGCGGCTTTCCAATCACGTTCTTCTTCCAACCGTTGTAGTTGACGATCTTGGTGTCCGAGAGGAGCTTCCAGTCCTTCTTGCAATCGACTTGAAAGCCCAGAGCTCTGTCGTTGACAAGGTCTGTCGGGATGACCAGCTGCTTAGCACCCTTAGCAAACTTGACGGCGTCGTTGATTTTGTCAATCTTGGACATTCGAAGAGCGCGATTGAATGCTTCGTCATCGACCTTCTTATTGTTGACAGTCTGCGTGGACGCCCAATCATACTGCGCACCGATTTTCCACCAGGTGTTCTGGGGAATCCACGCTTTGATGGTGTTGTCAACGGCGATTCTGTTGGCAGTAATAAGACAATGCCTACACAAGAGATACTAATTAGACGTGAAGCCTTATTTGCGATGTAACGAATGCTTACCAGTCACCAGGGTTTCCTTCCCACTGCCCAGGTCCAGGAGTGATGTAGACACCTTTGCCGATTTGGGCTCCGCCAGTGGTCAATGCCGGCTTGTAAACGATTCTGTGATTCTGGTTGTAAATCTTTGCTTGGTCCTGATTCACTCGTTAGCTTGCAACTCACTGAGGTCACCACTTCATGGGACACCTACCGGATGGACGGTTCTGTAACCAATTGTGATGCGGTCTCCGTGGAGCGTTGATTTCGGCTTCCCTCCCAATCCACAGCAGCCTTGGCGAGGTTCTATGGGCGCTGAGACAACGCTGCTAACGAGAACTGCAGCCGAAAACAAAGTAAAAATGTTGGGAAGAATCATGATGAGGGCTCTATTGGATGATTTGGCGAGAAGTAAAGTTGTGTGACAATTCTGTTTGATGCATGAGTGGATGATGCTCTCTTCTTCGGCTAACAGAGCTTCAATTGTCGAATTTATAACTCTTTCAATGGTACCATCATCTTTTGGGATCTATGTTGAACTGTTCGTATGTTAGTGCCAAGAGAGGTCCTGAGCGATGCTATCCTGCTCGGTATTAAGCTCGCTGCGCAACGCACGATGTAGGTGGGCCTTGGAGGATATCCGCATCGCCAAGACATGGGCCTTTTCTAAAGTTAGAAGGCACTTCGAGGTAGGAAAATCAGTGCCAGCTGAAACTAAAGAACCGTAGCGATCATGATTCGGGTATAATGCGATCTATTTTGCGAAGATACTCTGTTCTTCAGACCGTCAAGGTCAAAACCGTTGACAATGAGGCCATAAGAGCCTAGTTTGGCAGTGTCCAGATGTGCTTGGCTGGCCGCCCTCGAAATTCTCGCGAGAATTTCACCTCCCACTTCAGCCGATGGCACCCATAATTATTCAATTGCGCTTTGATTGGATATTCCCGTTCAAGATGCCGGTTACCATTCTTTCAACAAGGCCTTGAGCTTCAATCTGGCGCAAATAGATGTGCGCGTCGTCAAAGATGAAGACTGAAGAATATTCTGCGTAATGCTCAGCCGACGTCGCGTCCTATCCCTTGCCACAAGCTCCCAAGCCTGTATTGTCTTCTGTGAAGGCTCAAAAGGCCAAGTAGACTCAATTGTGAGTTTTGTCTCGTTACGGAGGACTTCGTAACGAAGCAAGAATCCCTTGCCCACGGCGCCATGCCAAATCTCCATGGTGTGTAAGCGTGGCATACGCCACGCTGCCTGACTTGCCGCCAACAGTACTTCGTTCGTTTCGATGGAACCCGTACGTCTTGTAGGAATTTGGGAAGTAAGTGAGAGACTTCTGAGCCTACCCCATAACCTCATCCCGACCGGCAAAGCAGAAATTCTGGTCTCGGAATAGAACGGTCGAAAGAAGTCACTCGCTTCTACCGCGTGGGATATGACAAGTGTTTGCAGATCAAAGCTGGCCCTAAGTGCAAACCACCCCAGTTGCGCATTCCTTGGCTTATATTTTCGGTCATGCAACCAAGATTCCTGAGCCTCCCATATGGACACTGTGAAAACCTTTGGCGGTAAGTTCGCCAACAGACCTCCGCATGCTTGATTTCTCTCTGCTTGACTCTCACCATCGATACTTAGCCACGGCATGTATTTCACACGCCTCAAGCCGTCCAGTCGCTGCAGAATTTTCTGTATTGCAGAAGATGACAGAGACCGAAACATGTGACGATTCGGTGAGAATCCTGAGATGACTGGGACTTGCGGTAGCGAGATCTCGCCGTCCCGACTAGAAAAGTCGAGTAAACTTCCAATGAGGCGTTGTTTTGAGCCAAAACGCGAAAAGACTCTCGATTGTTGTCGGTGGGTGAGAACGCCTTGACTTTGGTCATTTCGACTGGACTGATCGTCGATTTGCGCATTACGAAAAGAATGCCGAGTCTCACTGGGCGAGCTAGCACACATCTCAAGCCAGATGCAGTGGCCGGTCGGTAAAGTCCAGGAAGACATCACCGAGAAGAGAGATACCAGTCCTTCGGTGAACCTGGCGTTGTTTTTAAGGATAGTGGCTTCATCTTCTTTCTTATCGCATCCATCACAGGTGTAGCTTCTCAAAGAAATGTGGAATGTGATCTTTTTACACGCTGCTACCCGGCTGCCGCTCATATAGGACTGAAAGGTGATGATTTCGAAGGGAGAGTACGGAAGACTGATACTTCGGAATGTAACTTTCTCAAAAAAGGCTTGCCAGTCTAGACAGACACTGGCGTAGTTGGAAAGTCGGCCAGTCCCATGGCCGGCTTGGAAAACCAGGAATTCCAGAATAATGAGCTGTATCTCAGCGGGCAGCGTCTGCCATTGCAAGCTAGTGTTACCGCTCATTCGAACTTAGTTAGTCGATTCCTCTGTTAGGTTTTGCCCCCCTGCTTGGGTAAGGAGAAGCATGTTCTCTCGATATTTATTTGTTTGTAAGTTGGTATTAGTCGAAGATGTGATTCAAGGCGAGGCAGGTTCGTAGAGTGTGAACGGGATCGTTTGTGCTCTGATTTTGGCCCTCGGTATTGTCCTATTCAATGGCTACTGAGATATAATTGTGGTGAAAATTAAGTTTTCAAAACAACGTGTGTCAATCGAGTCGGCTGATTGAAGTAGGTACCTGTCTGTACTAGGACCTCTCTGGTGTGTGTTGGGGGGACCTTTCCGGTCAACATTCGAGACGACTGTCTTCAGTGATAATGTGCAGGATTCTGGATTCATTTAGGTCTGGCGATGAAGTCCCTTATAGAGAAAAACTCCTTCTCTTGCGAGGTGCTGAAGCCGAAAGTTTCCAAACCCAAAAGAGGTCTAAGACGAAAGGATATATTGAAAATGACTTTCGTTGGAAACTACAGTATGTGCGCTGCCTGCATCTGCAGGTCCTGAATGCAGAACCTCAAGGTAACCTATCTCCGTTACGCGGTGCAAAAGATGTGGATTAAACGTGCTTCAACTCCAGGAGCAGTCTATGAATCAACTTATTACCAAATGCCGTTTCATCGTTTGAAGCTGGAATCGACTACCTAGACGGAATGAGTTGGGCAGCCTCCCTGGTAGCACGCATTTGAAGGAGTTTCTCAACTATCAGACTATGTAGTTTGCCGTAGATACTAACAGTTGCCTTTACTGCTTAAGCGCAAGCTCTGGATAGCTCGGCAAGGGCCAGCCTCCCTTCTCCTCGCTGGAGAACTTGGTTGCTATTTCAGGGACGCGCAGTAGGCAGAGAATCCAGACAATCCAGTGCAGGATGAGAACGCCCCAATACGTGTCTGGCATGGTCAGCCTGATCATCGGCAGGCTGAGTTTCTGACATTCATCGATGAAGGGACGCAGAACCTTGTCGTAGTTCTCAAAGGCGAGTGGAAGATCATCTGGATGCCGACTTATCTCCCCTGCCAAGACATATGCTCCCACGAAGCTGCTAGTTGTGCCCATGGCACTGAAGGGCGAGGGACAATGTGCCGCATCGCCAAGAAGAACAACGCGGCCCTTGGACCATGTCTTGGTCTGGACCTGGACGACTTCCTGGCTGTAGAAGTTCTCGGTTGTCTTCATGCCCTTCATGAAGCGATCCGTCTGCCAACCAGCGTTTCGAAACTTGTGCGCCCAGAACTCCTTCTGCTGCTCCACTGATCCCCTGTGAATGAGTGACGCCTCATTCGAATGGTCTTTGATGAAGAAGTAGACTTGCGTCTCCGTCGGTTTGTGAGTTCTACGAAAGACCATGCGTCCTTCTGCTGGATGGTACACTCTGCCAATATTGTCGTCGCCGTCCTCACGCGGAATGAACCAGTATGATGCATGCAAACCCAGATGGCGGTAAGGGTCCGGGGCGTCCGTTGGCTGTGTGGCT